CCCACTTCACATGGACAGGGTGTGGACTCCCTGAGTTCTCTCACCCAACACTGCTCCTAAGTCTACTTGCCTCCCCCAGTCTCTATTGTAACTGTCCCTGTATCCCAGTCCCTCCCTGCAGTTGCCCTTGCAGAGCCCTACCTGGTGTTCCTGGAAGTCTGGCTGCAGTGGGAACTTGTCCAGTGGTGGGATATCAGTCATGCCTGGAATAGAGTCCAGAGCCTGGATATTCAGGCCCCCCAACAGGAGGCCCAGCCACAGGAGACCCAGGACCATGGCTGCAGAGAAGCTGCTGTGCTGGCAACTATTGGAGGAGAAAGAGAAGCACAAAGAAGGCCAACTATGGAAAACTATTTATGGCCTCCAATCTGCCCCTCCTTGGGTGGGGAGATCCGTCCTTTGATAAATCTACGACAGGAGAGTCCTTTGGTGGCCACTCCTTCAGAAACACATAACCAGATATCTTCCACTCCCCTGCGGGTCAGGATTCTGCAATATAAAGGAAAAGGGGAAAGGGAATGGAGGGACATGCCCAGACCTGCTTAGTAGTGTGTCAAGTTCAAGAGCTCCCTCTCTGTGCTCACTGAGCCTCTTCCCTTCATCTTATTGACACTGCCTACGATTCAGCAGCTGGAATTAAGGGAAACTGTCATGTCAAATCCCTTGTGCCCATCATGTGGGTGTGTGGGGTAATGCCAACTCACTGTACCCAGAAATAGCAAAAAACATGCCAGGTACCATGCCTGCCACGTCCACAATCAGGAGGATGGGATAGGAGTGTCGCCAGCATTTCCGGGCCAGTCTGGGCTGTACAATGAAGTCCAGACTGGCCTAAAGTACAAGGGAAGACCTGTCCCAAGAAACAACAACAACAACAAAAAAGAAAAAAGAAAGAAAAGAAAAAGAAAGGTAAGAAAAGAAAAAAATAAAGCGAGGAATATTCACTGTGACAGGTCTTGTGCTTCACTTTGGTTCTACTTGGAATGTAGATCTTCGTATCCTCTCTCTGAAGGAGGCTTACGTCTGTCTCACTGGCTGTACACTACTGAAGTGGAGAGACATTATGCTAGATTCGTGTATCTATTCCTGATACTTCTATCTTCGTGTAACCAACAGCAGAAGACCAAAGCAAAACACTAGGAGTTACCATTATAAGAAAGAAGTTTCCCACATAATTGAAGCTGTGAACATTTAAAAGGTATATAAATAACAAAAATAGAATTTTAAAGTAATATACATTAGAACTTAGGAATGAAGTATTGCATTAACAAACTTCGTTAATAACAGGAGAATAGTGTTTGTGTAGATCCCAAATGGATAATGAAAGATGATCTATGTCCACTTTCATAATTTCTTTTAAATGTAGAAAGGTAAGTGAAAAAGAAAAAAAGAAAGATACACCGGAAAGAGAATAAAAGGGGAAAGACCCATCGTTGGCTTAGAATAGCTGTCTTCAAGCCAAAAATACAGTGTTAAATCTAGGCTGCCAAGATAAAAGCCACAATGTCAAGGTTATCAAATCCAAGGGAAGTCTGAAAAAATGTCCTAGCCAAGAGGAGCCTAAAGAGACATTGGCCCTGCTGTAATTTGGGTGTGATTTCAGGGTCCCCCAGAGGTTCGTGTGTGAGTCTAGGCTGCCAAGATAAAAGCCACAATGTCAAGGTTATCAAATCCAAGGGAAGCCTGAAAAAAAGAGACATTGGCCCTGCTGTAATTTGGGTGTGATTTCAGGGTCCCCCAGAGGTTCGTGTGTGACAATTTAACCCCCACTGTGATACATCAAGACCACGGGTGTAGGTATGACTCAGGTAGCCATAAAGGTGATTACATAAACTGAGTCCAGAATGCTGGCTATGGGCTGGCAGGATCTTGGCTTTTCCTGGACACAGGCTCCATTCTTTCCTGTGTGTTAGAAGTTGGGCTTTGGGAACCCGCTCCCAGGGATGCTCACAGCAGCAGAGAAGTGCATAGCTGCCTATGTTTTTGCTGCTCTAATGAAACACCACAGACTCCATCACTTACATACAAGGTTTATTTCTCACAACTCTGGAAGCTGGGAAGTCCACAAGTCAGTAGCAGAGTTGGTGTCTAGACTTTTCCACACAGTTGACACTATCAAAGTGTCCTCACACTGTGGAAGAGATGGCAGGGTGAAAAGGGCTTGTTATGGTTTACATCTACCATCCACCAAATCCCCATGTGCACATAGGTGGGGCTTTGGGGGGTAATTGGATCATGGGTGTGTGATCCTATTGGCAGAATTGTCCACCGTTACACATTCAAACCACAGCAGCAGCCATAGCTGACGGAGCATTCTACTCTTTACCTGATCTTGGGGCAAGGCGGCTGTTTCCACTTGCTTAACCCCCAAAGGACCAACTTGTTCTCTCCCCGAGTCCACCCCATCCCTGCACCCCAGAGCCAAACCCTGCAATCTGCCTTCTCTGTGAACCTCAATTCTCCAATATTTCAACTCCGATCCATCCAGTGGACAGAGCCAGGCACACAGTAAGTAGGTGAGTCTTGGCTTCTCCCCTAGAGTCTTCATCTGTTCCACCTGTCATCTCCCAATGGTACTCTCAGGCCTTAGCCTCATTGTTCGCCCCACCTCTGCTGCCACAGCTGCACCCATATCCTGGCCCTTTTAGGAGCTCAAGCCAGACCCTGCCTCTGGACATGGTACCCCACAGACTGGCCTGGCAGCACTTAGTCTTCGCTGCTTATCAGGCCCTATTCAGGTGACTACACTGACAACTGATTGCTTTGCTATTTGCTGGTTCTTTGACTCAGACTTCACCAGTCCCTGCTGTGACCTCCATAACTCCTTTTTTGTTTCATGGTTGTGGTAGTGTTAGAAGTAGGGACTGAACACAGAGACATTACAAATTCTTAGCCTTATTTTTTATTAGGAGACAAGGTCTTACTAATTTGACCAGTCTGGTTTCACATTTGTGATCCTCCTAGCTCAGCCTCTGGAGTTGAGCCTGCTAGGATTACACGCAGGTTGGTAACAAGAAGCTCACAGCATTAGAAGCCCTGGGAGCCTTGGGTGGAGTCCCACACCGAATCCAGTTTCCCACCTCCCACTTTGGGACACCGTACGATTTGTCTTGTTTCTACTTCCTGAATGTGTTTTCCCTGCCACCACCATGAGTGTTGTTGGAAGGGAAGGCTGAAGATGGTGAAGAAGGGGAGGAGGTAAGAAGAGACCAGAAGAAAGGCAGAAGGAAGGGAGGATATGAGGAAGACTGTTCTCCAATACACATATCGTACCTCTTCCACCGAACTGCAAGGCTCTAATGACATGCAGAGTCTTGGGATGGCTGCAAACTTTCTCCCTTTGATGGTGATCCTGCTGGGACTTTCTCCAGTGCTAAGGACAGCAGAGCTAGGCAATGCATGGGCCTGCCTTGAGAAGCTGGAAGGACCTGGGGCCTGTAGGACCAGGATGGATCCCAGGCAAAGAGTTCATCATGACTTGTCAGGAATGGGGTGGAGGGATAGTGGGCAAGTGGCTGGTTGCCCACTGGAGACAAGTTTTCTCTTCTATAAGCAGAGAATGACAATATCTCCTCCTGACATGAGCTGCCTATAATCCCTGAGTCTTGCACCTCTACCAAACACTGCCTCAGAATCACTTGGCTCTCTTTCCCTCTGTTCCTTCTGTCCCTGTCCCCTCCCTGTAATTATTTTCCAGAGTTTTTACATGGTGCCCTTGAAGACTGGCTGCACAGGGGCTACACTCAATATTGGGCTTAGGGTCATGACCAGTGCGGAGGCCTGGCTTTGGGTTTACAGTGCTTCTAGCACAGTGAGTCTGACACACAATCGACCTAGGGCCATGGCTTTAGGAGAACTGCTGGACTGGCAGGTATTGGAGGAGGCATAAGGATTTCAACCCAAAGGAACTACTCATTGATCACCTAGCTGCTACCTCCTAGAGTACGTTTACTAAATCCTTTGCTGAATCCAGGAATGGTGAATCAGTTGTTGGCAAATGCTTCAAAAACTCATGGCAAGAATACTTTTAAGCGAAATAAATAAGACACACATGTATAAATATCAAATCATTTTTCTGGTGTGAAAAACTAAAACGGTAAATAAGGTTCAGATCATATAATTGATACTGAGAAATAGGAAGAAAAGGTCTAAAGTAGTAGGGGAAGTGGGAAGGGTAGGAGAAAGGAAAGAGGGGAAAAGAAAAAATATGAGAAAAGGAAAAATGGAAACAAAGTCTTTGTAAATAGGGAAGGGTGGAAGGGGTGAAGGAAGGGCAGGGGAATGGGGAAAAATGAGAACCAAGATAACTTCTGGTCTTGGAACCCCAGGTTGCCCCTGAAACATGACATAATTTCTAACCTGGAGACCTCATCTTCACCAAGATGAAAGGTTATCCTCACTGGCCAGCTCTAGTGGATGAAGTTTACCATAGTTTTCCTTGGTTTCTGAGTAAGGAAATAATATCCTTTGGTCCTGAAAAGGCTGTATCCTGAGTTCCAAAAAAGAAGATGGGCAATTTTTTGTGGTCAGCTTTACAGCCTCATCAGGAACTTAATCTAACTGCCCATCTTTTTGGGGGGGACTCTGAAGACTGCTCTTTTAGGACCAAAGGATATAGTTCCTTACTCAGAAAATAAGGAAAAGTATGGTAAACCAAATACATGAAAAGGTTTTAATGCAACTTTATGGGAGATAGACAACAATCTGAAAGTGAACTGTTCAAGCCAATAGGCATCAGATAAACAGCCAAACACATCATCTGAGGTTGAAGTTGAAGAAAAAGAAATATGTTTCAAGGGAAGATGGTGATCGTGAAGCAAAAGCAAGCAATGAGGATGACTAAAGCAGTTGACATAGCTACTCCAACAGCTGCCAGAAGAGGGAGAAAGAGAAAGGCAGAAAAAGTAGAAACCAAGGAGGCAGGAGTAGTGACAACAGCAACAGCATCTGTTAATCTAGGAGTCCTAAGAGAGGAAGACTTGCAGCTACAGAAGTCAAGATTCCAAAACCAAGAAGCAGAGCCCAAATGGTAAAACAGCCTCACCCTTCAGAGAGGTACATGGCAGCTGAAAAAGACAAAAGTAGGAAAATTGGGCAAGAGGAAAAACCACCTAAAAGGCAGTCTAAAAAGAATTAAGACAGCCAGAATGAAAAAGATAAACCAAGAAAAGAGCCAGACAAAAAACAGGGCAAGAAAGAAGTTGAATCAAAAGGGAAAAATTTAGCTAAAACAGGGATTACATCAACTTCCAAATCTGAAGAAGAGGGAGATGACCAAGAAGGCAAAAAGAAGGGAAGGGTTGGAAGAAATTTACAGACTGCTTACAGAAGGAATATGCTGAAAGGCCAACATGAGAAGGAAGCCACAGACCAAAAACGCAAGTAAGAGGAACAAATGGAAACCGAGCAGCAGAGTAAAGTTGAAAGAAATAATCCAGAATTTAAAGCAAGTGGAGAAGAAACAAGAAACAGCAATGGATTTTTGACCTCAAAATATACATGCTGAAATTAAAAATTCACTCAAAATTGATAATCTTGATGTGAACAGATACACTGAGGCTTTGAGTGAACTTGCTTCACTTCAGATCACAATGCAACAAGCTCAGAAACACACAGATGACCACAACCCTGAAAACAAAATGATGATGAACAATAAAGGTGAAGTCACAACACATCCATCAGAAATCCAGGGGATTATCAATACCTACTTCAAGAACCTGTTCTCTAATAAAATGGAAAAGAAGAAATGAACAGATTCCTAGATAAATATGAATTGCCAAAATTGAATGAAAAAGATATAAAAATTCTAAAAGCCCAATTACAACTAATGAAATTGAAAACATAATTAAAAATTTGCCAACAAAGAAAAGCCCAGATCCTGATGGCTTCACTGCTGAATTCTAGGACATTTAGAGAAGAACTATTGCCATTTCTCTGCAAACTCTTCAGTGAAATTGAAAGGAAAGCAGTACTTTCAAATTCATTCCTGGAAGCAAGTTTTACTTTTATTCCAAAACTAGAGAAACACCCAACTATAAAAGAGAACTACAGGCCAATCTCTCTAATGAACATAGATGCAAAAATTCTCAATAAAATACTGGTGAACAGAGTAAAAAATGAGAACCAAGAACTTTCATGTGAAGGTACAGGATCCCATTAATGAATGTAACTGTATTGTAGACCTAGATTGTACCAATAAACTCAATTTAAAAAAAGAATGAGAAATCAGATGCATTCATAGGAAAATGGATACATATTGAGGATATACTCCTAAGTGAAATAAATAAGTCACACAGGTGTAAATACCGAATAGTTTCTCTGGTATGAATAAACTGTAGCAGTACATAAGATCCTAGTGAGATAACTGACATTGTGAACTGGGAAGAAAAGGGCTAAAGGTGTAGGGAAAGAGGGAAGGGTAGGGGAAAGGTAATAAGGAAAAAAAATGTGAGAAAATGAAAAGATGGAAATAAAGTGTTTGTAAATGGGGAAGGGAGGGGGGGTGAAGGGAGGGCAGGGACAAGGGGAAAAAATGGGAACCAAGACCTGTCATGTAAAGGTACAAGATCCCAAAAATGCATGTAACTGTACTGTATACCTAAAATGCACCAATAAACTCAATAAATAAATAAATAACAAAAAAAGAAAATCATGAACCTTGACCAAGTCAAATTTATTCCAGTGATGCAAGGATGGTTCAACCTATGTAAATCAATAAATGTAATACACTATATTAACAGAGTCAAGGACAAAAACCATACAATCATCTCAATAGATGCAGAAAAAGCATTCAACAAAATCCAACACCCATTCATCATAAAAACCTTACAGAAAATTGGAATAGATGATCTTTATCTCAACCTTATAAAGACTATCTCTTAAAAACTAATAGGTGAGCCCAGCACACCAGAGGAGACCAGCAGCAGCTTGCAACCCTCTGGCCCACCCTTCAAACCCAGCATGCCAGAGGAGGCTGGCAGTAGCTCCCGACCCTCTGGTAGGCCCGCTCCTTCAACCCAGCATGCCAGAAGAAACCAGCAACAGCTTGCAACCCTGTGGTAGGCCTGCCCCTTTAACCCAATGTGCCAGAAGAGCCCAGCACAGTGGTGTTGATGCCCCACCCCCACAAATAAGAAAAAGAGAGCCCCTCTAAAGCTCCTAGGTGAAAATTGAAGCCCACTGGAAAAGTGAAGAAAATCTGTGATAAAGGCACACCACACCACCATAGTTGGTAAGTTGGAGGGACCAGCATCTCACATCTGAATCTGTTCTAACTTCAGGAGAAAGACAACTGGAGCCTGCAGTAGAACCTTACAGAGTTCAACCCAGCAGCGGGTCAGAGATCTCAATTTGGGCCTTGCAGCCCAAAATCATCCTGAACAATAGGGGACAACAGAGACATACCCTGAAGGAGGCCCTCTATTTCTATTTGTATTTTTTATTTTCAAAATAATTATTTCCCCTTATCTTTAAACATTTCAAATTTTTTATCTATCTTTTTCTTTTCTCAAATTTTTTTTGCTTTTTTAATCTTCTCTTTCTTATCTTTTCTCTCTCTCTCTCTATCTCTCTCTCTCTCTCTCTCTCTCTCTCTTACTCTCTCTCCTACCATGATCTCCATTACTCTCCCTTTTTGTTCCTATTCCTATCCTAATTTGAATTTACTTTCTTTTTCCTTTTCTTCTTTTTCTTCCTCAGTTGCCATTACTTTTAAAAGAAAGTAATTACAGTCTCTAGTCTCCCCAATGCTATTATTTTGCTCTGTTCTTGGATATATTTTGTTCATCTTCTCTTCAACAGCTCCCTGGAGTTTGTGTGATCTTCCTGTATCCTCTGACCTCAAGTCTAACCCTTCTCTATCCTATTTATCCCTCCCTCCCAACTCCTTTTAAATCCCCATCCTGAAAGGTAAAGTTGTGATACTGAAGAGTTTATTCACTATCAACATATTTTGGGCTGGTCCTTGATTTTTATTTAATTCACACAGTTAAAGCTGATCGATTAATAACTACCACAGATTGTCATTTTCTAAGCTGTGCTTGATGCTATTGTGTTGCTGATTGTATCACTTGGGCTAAGGTGTTGTGATTGATCTAATCAGTTGTCCTCCCTGGTATAATGAAAATGAGACATTAGGGACTCAAAACCTAAAAACCACCTGTATCTGGAAGATCAAAGCATTAATCAAGGAATTACTACTACTCCCTGTGCCACAAATGGTATCCTCAACCTGGCAGGGTGGTATATGTCTGTAATCTCAACATTTTTGGAGACTGAGGCTGGAGGACTGAAAGTCTGAGCTGGCTCAGACAATTTAGCATGATGCTGTCTCAAAATAAAAATTAAAGAAATACTGTCCCTCCACCTTGGCAGGAATGAATCCCCAGGAATACTGGTGAGGCCATGAGGAGGACCATCCCTCCTTTTGTTTCAGCATCATCTTGACAAGTAAGTCAGGATGTCAGATATTTTTTTAGATCTATATTTTACTTTAGGGACATCAACTTTTCTATTAAGTCATTCCATTGTTCTGGGCCTGAGCCTTTTACCATAGAGTGGCATTTGTAGCATCAAACTTATCACAGTGAATATTCTTAGGTGGCAGTGGGGAAGTAATGTACAAGAGAATTTTATCTAGGGAGGAAAAGTCCCCAAAACAAGAGCTTCATGCTGATGAAGACTTTTGTGGTCATTTCAAGACTGCATGTTGGACAAATAAAACATGAAACTTTTAAAAGGCACAAAATAAAAGAAATCACAACTTAGATGGCACAGTGATTTACATGTACCTCCTTCACTGAATAAGAAAGCACTAACACTTATCAGAAATGTGTTAAACAGGGAAAGATCAATGGATATCATAGCCAGAACACACAGAGAAGGGTTTCACATCTTTGGTGTTTCTGTTAAAAAGGACCTGAGATTGCATTTTGCTGCAGCAAAAATGGTCATCACAGTGACATCAAATGATACCAAATGATGGGAAGGCTATGGGAAGAAGGAATACTTATACAGTGATGGTTTTACGTGAACTAGTATGCTTACTACAAAAAACTGAAACTAGAAATCCCAACCCCTTCTAGCATCTTTCTGAAAGAATTAGAGACATCATATTCCAGTGATACATGCATACCCCATGTTTTTAGCAGCACAACTCATAATAGCTAAAGTTCAGAAGTAGCTTATATGTCCATCATGAAATGAATAGATAAGGAAAATATTGGTATTTATACACAATGGAATACTACTCTGCCATAAAGGAGGAACTTGACCTATTTGTAGGAAAATGAATGCATCTGGAGACTGTAATGTTAAATGAAATAAATCAGAGACACAAGTTTACAACTGGGATGGTTTTTTCTTATTTGATAACCAAAATATAAAAATAAACAAAAAATAAATGATAGATAATAAGAAATAGGGAGATGAATGGAGGAGGCAGCAGAGGGAAATGGGATGAAAAAAGAATTAAGGTTTGTTATGTACAGGTAGCCACTAACAACAGTGCATGCAATCATTCTGTACTGTAAGCATGTACAAATAGAAAATGAAATTTGGCAAAAAATGAAATAAAACTATGCTCTTACATTTTAAAAATTTAAACTGGAGAAAGGTATTAAAAATAAAAATATAAAATGGAAAAAATAGATATCAGCTGGAATTTGTGTGTTTCTCCTTCCGATAGCTCCTCAGAGATATCTATTAGACTGGCCTCTAATGATTTTGCTTCTCTTCTGTGTATTTTTTGTATATCACATGGTGTAGGCTGGCTGATGTGCCCTTCTTTATAGTAGAAACATATAGTAAGAATGCAGTTCAGAATTACTGCCGTTATTTTCCTAGGGAGCAGGAAAATGTCTAGTGAATATCACAACATCAATAAACCACAAACAGCATATCAAAGAAGACAGGACTGTCATCACATGATCTGGTGATATTTGCAGCATTGTTATCTGGGTCAAGTGGACATTGACCCTCTCCATGGGATCACTGTGAGCTTGGGTCACAATAACATTGTGGAGTATCATTTGGGGACAGTCATGGACCAGGTGTTTGGACTGTGACTGCTTTATTTTGTCTTTGTGGCTGTTGAAGTCATGATGAGAGTCACGTGGGCAGATGACTCTGACCTTGCCCTCTGGGCAGTTTCCCTCTTTCTTGTCTTGACTACAGCTTGGGCTGGTGGATTTTTTTTAAACAAAATTATTAATTTATTTTTACTTTGCAAAAAATAGAACTTTCATAACAAAATAATGGGTGAGTAACAATAGCTAATTCTCTGTGCATCATAATCGTAAAAGTAGTTACTCAGAGAACCAGACATAGACAAAAGCGATTCTCCCTTAGGAAGAAGAAATAGATAACATCACACAACTTTTCTTTTCAATGAGCTAAGACAAAGTCGTGGTATAAATGAATAATAAACCTTACAAATACATTAAAATATTTTTGGAACAACAAGATTTAAGGTAATTTAAGGAACTGCTTGAAATATTCTCTGCTTCCCATTTATCTATCTTCTACTTTGCTCTTTTATTTGTCATATAAGAGAAGCCATGTGATATTTAAGTTTGTGCCTCTGCCTTTTTTCACTTGACATTAGGTACACAAGTTGCATGTGTTTACCTATAATTGTCTCAAGTTTTTATTT